ATGATGTCCCTGCTCATGGCAGGGGGGTTGGAACTAGATGATCTTAAGGTACTTTCCAACCCTAACCATTCTATGATTCTACATAAGTTAACTGGCTGTTCCTAAGACAGCTGGCAAGCTTCCATCTCTGCTAGGGTAATACAGCATGCAGTGGTCATACTACTCTTCAAGTGGGAGAAATTTTCTGTGTGTGCGTGAGGTTTTACCACAACCTGAGCCTTGGAGTGGTTGGAAAAGCGACCTGGCCTAGTCATATCCCTTTTGTGGTGTTGAGAATCCACTGCTGTTAGCAGTTCTACAGGCCTTCATCCAAGAACTGTCAGATGGCTCTGTAGCTGTCTTTTGATTACTGAAAGAAGTTAATTGTGGTACAACTTTGGTTTTATACAGATTATTTTATTGATTTAAAATAGTTAAAACTCTGCATCTTTTCTCTGATTCCCCTTTCTCTGCTGGGTAAAGCCTACATTACTTGTTCTGTTTCCAAAGACGCTCTGGAACCTGTAACTGTTTTCTGTCAGCACCTCCCTCAGTAAGATAGAATCACAGAATGGTTTGTGTTGAAAAGGACCTTAAGATCATCTAGTTTTAACCCCCCTGCCATGGGCACGGACATCTCCCACTAGACAAGGTTACTCAAGACCCTTTCCAGCCTAGCCTTGAACACTGCCAGGGATGGAGTATTCACAACTTCCCTTATGCTCATGGTAAAGAATTTCTTCCTTATATCTAGCCTTGATCTCCCATTTAGTTTTCAATGATGCCAACTCTAACACCGGTTACAGTACTCACATTACAGCTGAGTACATTGATTCCGTCTTTGCTTTTTCCTAAGCTCGAGCAAAGGTCTTCATGAAAGTCTGCACAGCAGCCCTGCAGTTCTTGAAAGAACTCGGTAAGAAGCCCTCTGCCTGGTGTGTTGACTCCGCTGCCTGACATACTGATCGGTGCCATTTTGTTTCCTTGTACTGCACTGTCTATCTGCTCGTTTATATCTAGACTGGACATTCTCTATGGCAGGGTCAGCATTCTTGTTCTGCTTGCCCTGTGAACGGGCAACGTACAGCCTGAGCAATGAGCGGGGTTCTTGGTAAATACAGCGATACAGGTAGTAGAAACATCAAACAAGGAACTTAATCTCAGTAGTATGAAGTTCAGGACACCAAGAAAAGGAAGCTGTCTTCTGAAAGGGTAAGAAAACAACTTTTACAAAGGATAATGGTAAATTAAGAGTTCTCTTACTCTGATATTTTAAGTTCTTGCATGGATTAACTG